GTCAAATATGACACTGACAAGCGGGAAGTTTCGCACGTTTTGTGTTATTGTTATTGTTAGTGAAGTTGACGGTAACTTTGAAGTTAGTTTGTTCCTGTTCCGTAGTTAAAGTTGTACCGAGTGGAATAAAAGATGTAAGCTGAAGAAAGGGTTTAATACTCGGCCATCCACGGTACAATATTATTGCGTTTTTGGATTCTCTGAGCAAAATAATTGTTTGTTTTAATAAGATTTATAATGTCTAAATCTAAAGGTTTTTTTAAATAATTCGAACTTTATCAAAATCTAATATTATTTTCATGTGTCAAATACTTGCGAATTATTTAAATTATGTAAACGTAATTCGTGGTGTAGTGTAACAAGAAATCATATTTTACATCCCAATGATAATAAACTTACCATTTTGTACAGGGTTAAAGCCACTTCAAGTTCTTATTTGATTAGTTTAAATTTGTGGACACCCTGTATAACATGCTAAGTTTATTATCATTGGGATATAAAATATTATATCTTGTTACACTTCACTATAAATTACGCTTACATAACTTAAATACTTCTAAAGTATTTGAAACGTGAAAATTAGATTGGATTTTGATTAAATTCGTATTATTTAAAAAACCTTAAGATTTAGGTGTTATAAATCTTATTAAAACAGACACTTATTTTGTGCAGCGAATCCAAAAATGCAATAATATACAGGACACTCCATTAAAAAAAACGCAACTTTGATACCTTTAGAGCTTTTGGGACACCCTGTACATTACGAAAATATTTTTAAAACGTGCGCTCGGTAGACGTCGGACAATTCATAAAATAATACTTTTTAAAAATCAAACGGTTTAGCCGCAAACTTCCGTGCCGTATAGCGTGAATAACCCTGTATATACCTCTGTAGCTTTCACAGGCACACGTTTCCTCCTCCCATATCAGACACTTGTATCCTCTTCACTTCTGCTGCAACCATTGTGGTCACATATAGCTACGTGATCTTATGTATGTTTATTCCTTCAGGCGAAGTCGGATTCCCTGGACGTCCCGGAATACCAGGACTAACCGTTAAGGGAGAGAAGGGTCTTCCCGGTCTTCCTGGTAAAAACGGAAGGGAAGGTGCACCTGGACTTCAAGGAGAAAAAGGAGACATAGGATTACCTGGCTTGAATGGCCGCCCTGGATTAACAGGACCACCTGGCCCACTTGGTCCGCAAGGTCCTAAAGGTGACAGGGGCTACGACGGACGTCCGGGAGCTTTGGGGCCGCCCGGTCCCCCTGGACGTCCCGGATTGAATGGCCTGTCCGGACCCACTGGAGAAAAAGGAGATCGCGGTCAACCGGGCCTACTGGGAGCGCCGGGCCAAAAAGGAGATCGAGGTCTCACAGGCCTGCAAGGCCCTCCGGGCATCAAGGGCGACAAGGGAGACCGTGGCAGAGATGGCTTCAATGGACCAAGAGGAGCGCCAGGGCCGCAAGGCCTTAAGGGAGCAGTAGGTGTTCGAGGAGAGGCCGGAGCTATGGGAGTGGCAGGAGCACAAGGAGAGAAAGGTGACGCCGGACGTCCAGGTATTCCTGGGCCGAAAGGGAATCCTGGAAGACCCGGAGAGCCAGGCCCGCCAGGAATAGACGGCCGTCCAGGCGCTGTGGGCTTGCCCGGAATAGCGGGAGCGGCTGGAGCGAAGGGAGAACGTGGATATGTTGGACCCCCAGGGCTTCCAGGGCGTCCAGGCGAAAARGGAGACCAGGGAATCGCTGGACTGGCAGGTCTTGATGGACTAATGGGAATCGACGGCGCGAAAGGAGACCGGGGCGAACCTTGCACAGCAGTCTCAGACTATCTGACTGGAACTTTGTTGGTGCGCCACAGTCAAACCCGAGAAGTTCCCCAATGCGAACTCGGACACACCAAGCTATGGGAAGGGTACTCTCTTCTTTATGTCTCAGGTAACTACTGCCAATTGGGGCGAGAGGAAGATTTACTTAAATTCATATTGCAGGAAACGAAAAACCGCACAGCCAAGACTTGGGAATGGCCGGCTCTTGTATCCGAAGATTCTCAACGATGCCGTTTGTGTTTTGCGACATCGACAATGTCTGCAACTACGCGAACAGAAACGACAAATCCTACTGGCTGTCGACCAGCGAACCCATTCCGATGATGCCAGTAGAAGAGACGGACATTCAAAAGTACATATCCAGATGTGTCGTCTGCGAAACACCAGCCAATGTGATTGCTGTGCACAGTCAGTCTTTGTCGCTGCCCGATTGTCCTTATGGATGGTCCTCATTGTGGATTGGATACAGTTTTATCATGGTAAGAGCTTCAAATCGTGCTGGGGGAAATCACAAAAACTTTTAGTTGATTGGGCTTAGTTTAGTCAGATGGAGGTTTTCCACTGTCTTTTGTCGAGTTTTTTGTGTATCCGTTTTTTGAGGCGGGTAGTAATGAGCAAAGCGCCATCAAAGCACGAGTAGTTTGCAGGAGCCTCGCCAGGCTCTTGTAAAAGTGTAGGTCTTACACAACATGGTCAGAAGGCAGTTTTAGTCTTGTGTTGGTATTGTTTTTATGCAATACCAATACAGGGTTATTCACGCTATACGGCACGGACGTTTGCGGCTCGCCCGTTTGTTTTTTGCAAACTATTGATGTATCCACAGACGCCTA